AAACAAACTTGCATTTTTGTGACCTGAGTTTGGACTTAATGTTCTTTTCCATACACCTTGGTTTGGAAAATTCACGACAAGCAGGATTTTTTAATGAACTCTGAACTAGCCTTTGACCTCATTGAGGGATTCGCAGAGAAATTAAATCTATATTGTATCAGAAACTAAGATGATCTTTCTGCCGTGCTTACGTTTTAAATGCTAGGTCTATGGCAGACAGTATGTCATGCCGTCTGGGATGTGGTTGAGTAGTTGTCTATTATTTTATGGTATATCTGGAGAATCCTGAGTATAGGCTGTTCAAATGGATACCAAAACTATTTTTACCCGTTATTTCCTTTTACTTGCTTTCTAGTTTTACTGACTAACTGCTGTTATCTAAGCTGTGTTTTCTAGCTACTTACACAGCTCTTGTTGCCAGTGGTTCTTACAAAACTTCACTTTTAAAATAAATCAGGCCTGAGGGGAGACTGCTTTTAGTGGTGACATGGCAGAGTGGGCAGGAGCCTCAGATTGCTGTGTTGAAGTCTGGTGCAAAACCCTGGGTAATTACTGTCCTTTGGTTCTGTAATTCTTCTGCGTCGTGTGGGTCAGGCTCCCAAATTCCTTATCTTGGAAGGAAATGTGGTACAGTGGGTGAAGAGGAAGACTATTGATTACTTACTTTCTTCCTGAACATTTTCTTACAGGAGGAGTGTTTGCTGTGATTGTATCATTACACCTTCAAAAGCTGGATAGCCAGTGCTCTTCTGGCTTTTAGCTAGAAGAGCATTGTATAAGCTGCAAGGGAAAAGTTTTTCTTAGAGGTAACTGAGGAAGTAACTTGTAAGCATTCAACACAACTCATTAAATAACTGGCAGTGTTCTTGCATGGTGTGTCCCAGAAACTGTCCAGGACTATAATTCACTGCCCCTATGGCAATGTAGTGCCTCTGAGAGATGTGAGGTTGATGAGACTGGGACCTTTACTTCAATTTATCCACCAAACAGGGCCAGGCAGTGGCGTTATATGCTTTCCGTCACATCTCTGCCTTGACTGTTAGATAGCTGATTACTACCCATGGATTTTCTCGTCTTGTAAAGGGAGGTAAGGGAAAGGATGCTTTATGGTACTAATTTTCATAGCTGGCTTTAAAAGCGAAGTGAGTCACTAGAGGAAACTGGAAAGCAGAAAGTGTACTGAAAGAAGTTTTCATCAACCCCTGGCTGCTGCTATTCATACCTGTCCCGCTTATCCACACAAAGCAGCTCATGGAACAAATCATCCTCACTTTGAACAAAAAATAGCTTTTTAATTCTCCTTGGGTGTTTTCAATAACCAGAATTTGTGGAATTCTGAAAAAAATGGTGGGGATGCTGTCGATGAGGTATGGCCAACAAAGTGCCTTTTGTACCGCTTTTCACTCGCAAAGTTACAAGCTTTTCTTCATAGAGAGCTTTTGCCAAGCTTGATACAAACATCAAGGAGGCTTACAAAACTCAGCGTGAAAAATACAAGAGCACATGGCAGAATTCAGTATCACAGGGTTTTATGTGATTTCTCAACTAGCAAAAATGGGAGGTAGGTAAAATACTAGAATTCAGGGTGGGAGCAACATATTCAGAGCAAAGGATGTCAGTAATTAGTTTCGTAAGTGGAGATAAATATGGTACAGTAGAGCAGAAGCAGCTGAAGAATAGAAACAGATCTTGCTCAGAAAACTGAAGACAAATGGCCAAAGATGTGAGGACTGGCTGCAGCAGCTTCTGGTGTCAGGCATGGGAATTCTCCCTGGGCTGGAATATTAGAACTGGTGGGCCAGTTTCTAATTTCACGCTCGTATTCATGCATACCTTATGAATTTCAGAGGGTTGTACAACATGGCAGCAATAAATGAATTAAAGCCTGGAGTTAAAACTGGAAATACTGTACGTATAGAATGATTAATGGCTTAATTTTCACTTCTGAGTTCACAGAGAAATTCATATTTCTTGAAACGGCTGTAACGTGATTAGTGAGTATACTGCATCTGTCTTTTAAGCTGACTTCTTAATGAAATTGGGCTGATGCACTCTTGCTGTCTCTGCCATTCTCCTTTCTCATGGCTTTTGAACTAGGTGGCCAACTTCAACCACGTTTAACAGAGAGGTGGAGGTCTCAGAGCAGGTTAATCATTAGGATATTCATGAACAGTAGAAAGCTGGGTAAAGGAGAAAGATGATATTTTTTTCTGAGAGGCACTTTGCATCTTATAGATGCCAGCAAATTCATGTGAATGAGGAGCCTCAAGACTCAGCTCTTTAGTTGAGAGTGGTATAAATGCTCCTTGTTCCAGCAAATGGTGCTTTCCCCATCCTCTTCCCTGCCTGTCTTTGGGATTCAGTAAAACAGCTGCTGACCTGACCATCCTTTGCCTCTTGGTCTGCCCTGAACCGCCTGGCTGTCCTACATGGCCAGGAATGCAGAAAAATAAAGAAATCCTGGGTTAAGATTAACTTCATAGATATCTTAGAAAATCGAGTGCTGTTAAATGAGTGACTCGCCAAAGGGACACCAGCTCTTTTTGGGCTGCAGCACCGCTGAGGCCTGCAGTCCCCACGTGCCCAGGGGTGCGGGCTGAGGCAGCCAGGCCATGTCCCCAGGCAGAGCCACGCAGCTCTGGAGTCCTGCCAGAGTGAGGCAATGCCCAGAGCACAGGGATGATATAAATCCTACTTCCATACGCAGAAAGCTGGAGAAACAACACGACATGGTGTCTCCAGCTTCCCCTTGGGTAAAATGTGATGTGTCCTTTTGGGTCTAACACAGCAACATCCTCAGTTTAAAGTACAACCACCAGCATGCTCCAGACTCTGCTCAAAGCAAAGAGACCATGGAAGTACAGCCAAATCATTTTATTTGAGGATAATTCTTGAAATTTTCTTGTTCTCCCCGCTGTTTGCATGCACTTTGGCCCTTGTCTGAAAGGGGCCAAGCTGTGCCTTGAAAGGTGGTGAGAACTGTGACACCCGTGATGGGCACAGGCACCAGCAAAGAAATAGCTGTGTAGAGAGAGGGGGGGGGAAACTGTTCTCTTCAGGCTTGGTTGGACTGGGAGTTGGGGTGTTTTAGATTGGATATAGAAGGAATTTCCTCACAGAGATGGTGGCCAAGCACTGGAGTGGGCTGTCCAGGGGAACGGTGGAGTCACCATCCCTGGGGGTATTTAAGAGATGTGGCCCTAAAAGATGTGGTTTAGTGATGGGACTCAGTATGTCACGTTGGTCATTGGACATGACCTTGAAGGCCTTTTCCTGCCTAGCTGATTCTCATGGAAGAAATGTTCCTTCCATTCTTACAGGAAAACACTGGGAGAATTTAGATTATTCATCCTAAACTTCAGTATCAGCTTATTCAACTTGCTTTACTTTCTGTGGTAGGCACAATAGTTGCTGTATTGAAACAGATTTTCCTCCTCTGTAATATAGGACTGAAGTGGCTAGATTACTAATGATGCAAACAGACTTTAATTGTGAAAAAGCTAGACACTGCATGAAAGGCACTAACTGAGGTGTAGAAGAGACAGTAAGAAAACAAGCTAAGTAAAATTGCTGTTGAGTTTTATAAATAGCACCATCATGTAAGCAGGTGGCATCTGGCTCCTGACAGCTGGCAGGTACTTTATTTTCAGGCTTCGGGAACTTCTGCATCACTTTTGGATGCTTAACTTGTCAAGTGTGCTTATTACCATCTACTGGTGGTTCTGGTCATTTGCAGCACTCAGGGAGACATAACATGAATACTTTCAGCAAACTTTGGCTGAAGTAGAAAATGAGGGTCATGCCTTCACTTTTTGGGTGAGACATAAAGGTTTGACAGCCTGGCTGGCCTCATTAAAGGGCTTCTAGTACCCAACAGTGCCAGATAGCCTTGGTTTCAGAATAAACTCAGTCAGGTGGCTTGTTTAAAACATTTCGTTGGGTTACATTTGTGCTGGTGGGATTTGCAGTTGAATCATACTTGTCTAAGATACCTTGACTTTGTGCTGGTTCACGTCACCCAGCTTTCTGCATCAGGTGTAGGTATGAGGTCTGTGCCTGAGTTAATGTTCTGCTATTCAGGGGAGGTAATTTTCTGTGCCAAAGCTCTTCCCAGACTGAGTTTATATTGCTACTTAGCCTAAGGATTTTTTATTATTTTACTTTTTTTTTTTTTTTTTTTTCCCCCCTGTACTGACTGGTATATCGGATTGTGGAACTGTGGCTTGACAAAATGAGAAGTTACTAAACTTGCTCCGGCACTGGTTTTTGAATGTGATAGTACAGAACTTCTTTTTCCATCCTGTAGCTTGCCAGGTGGCTGCTCTAACGACCAACCCTGCTCTTTTCATCATGAAACATGCTGCGGGGTGAAGAACCTGCTCTGCAGATGGGCTTCACTGCTGTTGTAATCAAAGCATGTGCAAAACAAAGCTTCTGAAGCCCAGCAGCCCTCACTCTGTGCTTGTTCATAAGGAGTGTGCACAGAGTGCTGGTGTTGGAGGCAGGCCAGGAGGGCATCAGTTCATCTACAGGGCTCTAGGGGCTCAGCATACCAATAAACCCATGTTTATTGGGTGCAGGGGGGATGAGGACTCCATGTTGCAGTTCAAGGAGGGCACAGTGATTGCAGCCCAGCTTGCTGGCTGGTGTGGGCTCAACTGGTTGACTGTGAGCACAGATCTTTGTGTTCCTCTCAGTGTTAAGTCCAGTTTTATAATCTTTGTCCGAAAAGAGGTGTGAGATTCGTCTTCAGCTAACAATAATCTTATTAGTGGGCTGTAAATTGGAAGTAAAGATTTATTCTAACCTTTGCTGATGGTGCCAATCACTTCCAATTTGTTGTGTGAAGACCTGAATGAGGCAGGCTCCAAGACTGAGGTTTATAGGGCTGGGTTTCTGTTGCTGAAGTTACATGGACTGTTTGTTTCAGTGCTCCCATTTTCCCCTTCCTCAGGGTTTGTAAATCCAGGCTCAATTAGATGCTTTCTTTTCTCTTTCAGGACAATTATTCTGAGTGACGGCCCTTGCACACGCTTCTGAGTGGTTATCATGGGCTTCATTGCCTTTCTGAAGACCCAGTTCATAGTTCACCTCCTCATTGGGTTCGTCTTTGTTGTGAGTGGACTGATCATTAACTTCATTCAACTATGCACGCTAGTCCTCTGGCCCATAAACAAGCAGTTTTATCGACGAGTAAACTGTCGCCTTGCCTATTCGCTTTGGAGCCGTGAGTATGCTTGAAGGAGACCTGAGGTCTGGGGGTGGGAAGGGGGGTGTCTTTGATTGCTCTTCCTTAATTTAAGGAAGAGACACATGCATGTATATGCATGCACAACCGAGAGAACTGTTAAGTCGTAAGTAGACTCTTTCAGAGCAACTCAGAGCAGACATCTTTTTTAAGTTTTGGGACAACATACAGGAGTCAAGTGACTGAGGCATACTGTCACTCTGTCCTATAAAAGGAGCGGAAAGGTAAGCTCCTTGCTACCCTGACCCTACCTTGCTTGGTGGGAAACTGCCGATCAATACCATCATTGTCCTGCATCAGAGACTCTGCTGAGCGATGGGAGAAAGGGGAATTCGGAGACTTGCTTCAGGTATTTGGTGTAGGTGCTTTGTTGACCACTTGCTTAGGGGCACAAGTTGACTGTGTGATCTGCAAGGACAGATGTCTGTCTTAAATATGTAGTGTAAATGCCTTTGTAGCTGGGCTGTGTGACAACTGCAGAGTCCTCTTATGCCCTGCAGTGTTCATCTATGACACCTATGTCTCTTCTTGTAAACAGTTTTCATCTTCTGCCTCTGGGAGAGCTCTGCAGTGAGTTCAGCTGCTTTGCTTTCCCATTCTAAGACCTTTGCAAAACTTCGTCCCTGTGAATGGTTTTCTTTTTCCTCGTACAGCTTAACAGGACAGTAGACTTCTGAAATGAACATTTAGAAGGCTCCTTAGTCCAAATGTCACTCCCTATTTCAGGAGTGAATCATCCAATGCATTTATACATTTCCATTCTCCATCTTCTTCCAGTATGCATGGCCACTTACATTAGTGCTCAGCATCCAACTCCCACTTTGGATAAATGAGTCACCTGAAGGAGTACTTAAATTACAATTGAGCAGTCCACTGACAGGCACCCACATTTAAGTCATCAATGTGAAGTATTACCAATAAAAATGCTCCAAAGTATCTAGTTTGGTTGCTTTTTAAGTTTTTTTGTCTTTGTCCTTCCTGTGCTTTTTGTTCCACCTATTTAGACTGCTGTCTAAGCAGCACAGGAGAAGTGAAATTAAGTAGAGTGTCAGGCAAACTGTCAGGAGAAAAAGGTATTGTAATGGAAAAAAATATAGACAGAAGCTTCAAAATTAGCTTGGGGCATGAGATGGGGGTGTATGGGATTTTGTTTTGCTTGTAAGAATTTCTTTGTGCTTTTTAATAACTTAGAACCTGATCTCATCTTGCAAACTATTGCTGCACAAGTCGTCTGTTTTTTTCAGAGGATGTGAGCTGCTTGTGCCTGTAAGGCTTATAGATTCGCACCCTTGATTTCTGCAAGTTAGCATTGTGTGTGGAAAAAGCAAGTCTTAAATACTGTTATCTATACTTTGTATACACTGAAAATACCCTACACTTGTTCAGAAAGGTTTGGAGAAGTTGAGTAGATAATTGGATTGCACCTAGGATAACCCCTCGTGTACAGCCTATTAAAAATTAAACGAGTGAGAAATTAAACTATGAAAATTAATGTAAATGTTACATGGGATTGCAGAGGGCTGATGGCCTGTAGTGGAAGAGCTGGCAGAATGTGCACTTCAATTGTGATTTATAATGAAATAAGTGGTGTAAGTGTAGCAGTTCAAATGTTGCCATTGTAATGAAATGTGTTCTCTTACAGGGAAGGCTTTTGGCAGTGAACCTACAGCTTGGTGTTCTATTCTAGATGCTACGCTTTGGTCACTCACTCCAAACTGTTTGGGTTGAGGCTGAGAGTTTTCATGTAGGAGCTCTCCTTACAGTAGCTGTCTTCCACAGAAACTGCTCTGCCAGTCTGGCAAAGGAATGGTGTGCAAGAGTAGATACATAGGTGGTTGTGTGTGTGTGTGTCCACTGAAAACAAGGCTCTATTACTGTATTTCTTCTTAAATGCATAAAATGTGGCTTCAAAAGGGGAAGGAGATAGACTCTACCCAGTGTCCATGGCAGACATTTGGGGAAAGATAGCAAGAGAGAGATGTGTTGGACTTGAAAGCTTTCTAAGAAATAGTGAAGCACTGAAATAAGTCATCTGGAGGGGCTGTGATTGAGATATTTAAGGACAAGTCAGACTAGTGAGCTCAAACTTCAGTCTGTTACCAAGGTGGCATCCCCTCCTCCCTGTCCTTCCTGCCAGGGCCTTCCTGGAGTAAATTGGTGCCAGGGATTTTTGTCAGACTCTGGGCTAAAAGTAAACGCTTCATTGCATATTTAATTCATGAAGGGTAGTCTGTATTCCAAGTTTTCTTGTGTCAACTCTTTTCAGATGACTCATGCCTTTGGATAGCAGTGTGTTTAGTCCAGTTCCAAAAACAGTCTCTCAAATTTTAGTACTTGAAGCCAAGAGGTGCATTGTGCCTCTTGTTTATTTTCTTTCTGGATGGCTTGTGAAGTCATAAAACCACTTGCTTTGGTGTATTGGAATCCAGATGGCAAGAAGGGTTTTTGCTGTAGTAAAGTTCTTAGTGGCAGCTACATGGAGTATCCCAAATGTTGCATGTCTTACCTTCTCTTGGCTTAGAAATAGAGGCTTGCTGTATTAGTGACAGGATCAGTGCACATGAAATATCTGTTACACTTCCCCCACACCTCCCTCCTCGCACACACACACCAAAAAAAAAAAAAAAAAGGGAAATGAACCCACTCCTTGTTATAATAACTACATCATTTATGAGTACACTTGCAAAGGACAATCTGTTTCCTTATATTTAATTCACTGGCTCATCAACCCGCCTATTTCAGTGTGAACTCTGAGATCTCTAAGCAAAGCTTTCTCTACTATTTTGGAATACATAGTGCAAGGAATACCTTGCAGAAAATCGACACCTGCCTCTGCAGAATTTTTACCTGATCTTGAGGAAAAAAACAGACCCATTTTACTTTATTTTTGATAAGAAAATGAATTGTCTGTAGCAGATACTGTAGGTGTTTAGAAGGGGAAAGTGCTTGGAGTATTATACTGTTTGGTGCCACTACTCTATTCTCCTGAACACCTACCTGGAAGAGCACAGCTCTAAACTGAGGTCATTCTTGCTGTCCTCTTTCCCCTTGCACTCAGCCAGCATAATCAGAGCAAGAAAGGTGAGCCATCACATCATTCCCCAAGGAGACAAAGCTGTAAAAATAATAATAATAATAATAACTTCTAGTTGGTATAAATTTTTCTTTTCTCTGCTGTAATTCCAGTCAGCCAGGGTTATACTCTCGATCAGCAAATCGTATAAATTTGCCAAGTGAGCAAGTCTTGAAAATGTTACAGGAGAATAGCCTGGCAGATAAGCAGTCACACAAGGAATACAATCTGAATAACTAATTCTAAAGAAGCTATGTAGCTTTGGCAAGTTAGGGATCATTTTCCGTACTACTCACCTAGATAGTGTGTTTGCCTTCTTATTGATGTGGTGCAAATTTGGACTGACCCGCTCTTACTTGGCAGCTTAGGTAGAATACTGTGAATTGTGTGCTCACTGATCAGAAGCCCTTATGCAGGAAGGCACCACTCCATTTTACAAAACCAGGGCCTTCTGACAGGAGGCTGGAGTGTACAGGGGGGCAGAACTGTGTAGATGTAGAGAACTGAGAGGTCTCCTTCCAGTTTTGCGTATCTAGGCCCTGCATATTTATCGTAATGATATCAGAAAAGCTGGAATTTTTAACTGCTGTCGTTGTGCTACCAAATTTTGATTACATCCATAACTAACTGAAATGAGAAAATACCAATGACTACAGTTTGCATGGAAGCAAATCTTCCTACTGGGAGAATGAACTATTCTCATACTTTTTATAGATGTCCCATGATACCAGCAATACTTTCCATCTGCCTCGTTGCACTGAAATGAGACAAATAGGCTAACCATAGCAACTACACTGAATGTGTGATGAATTTAAATGGAGGGTCCTTTTAAGATGAAACAGATGGAGGTGGAAAATGAAAAAAATGTGGATAATGAAGGAAATGTACAGTGGAGTAAGAGAGACACTGGAATATTGAAAAGTTGGAGAAGACAGGGGAAAGGGCTCATTCTTCACTGTGCAAGAAAGAAGCAATTTACTATTTCTGGCTTTGCATGGGTATTTTGATAAATTTGCTTGATTCTCTGGTGCTTCTGACTCTGATGACCATAACATAGAATGATAAGAGTCCTAATATTAAAATCTCTTGCAGAAGGTCTGTGACACCGTATGCACTTAAGAGCCCTTTATTGTTCTGTTTACCTCCATAAAGCTTGTTTCATGTTGAGTAAAAGCATTAGGCAGCATCTATGCATAATTTGTATTCCACCTGGGGGAAAGTGCACTCATTTAGTGGAGCAATCAACAGCTCAACTGTCTTGTGTTCAGGTGTAAAGTTTTGGGTATTCTTTCTGCTTATCATGAAAGTCCACGTTCATACTACAGTGCCCAAACTTGCCACCATAAAAACTTGTTAAAGTATTCCTAAAGCATATATCTAGTTCCCTAAATGCTGCTTAAGGATAGCGTTGTGATTTGGTCTATACCTGTACAAGCTGTCATTTAATCCCTACTGGATTGGGTTGAGATGATGACAGTGTTGTCAGGAGCCAGAAGAGTCCAGGTACTGAATGGGGCTGGAGACTAAATGCTGAACATTTTGTGTAAGCATCACCTCTAACTCATCTGTCTTCACCATGTTTGTCAGAGTTGGTAATGCTGCTGGAATGGTGGTCAGGCACAGAGTGCACCTTGTTCTCCGACGAGGCTACTGTGAATACCTTTGGGAAAGAGCACGTCATCATCATCTTGAATCACAACTTTGAAATTGACTTCTTGTGTGGCTGGACTATGACAGAACGCTTTGGAGTACTAGGGGTACGTGGTGCCATGAGCTTTCCCTTCATCTGAAGGACTGTGGGTCTATTTTAAACCCATGCACACAGAGTTTTCCAGAGAAAACTCCATCAGCTTTCCATCACCTTAACCTTAATGCTTTTGTTCGATACACATCAGCAAATGACAATTTTGGATTGTTGTTTTTGTTTCTCTCCAAGAGTTCCAAAGTTCTCGCTAAGAGAGAGCTACTGTATGTGCCCCTAATTGGCTGGACGTGGTACTTCCTTGAGATTGTTTTCTGCAAAAGGAAATGGGAAGAAGACAGAGATACGGTTATTGAAGGATTAAAACGTTTGGCTGATTATCCTGAATATATGTGGGTAAGTGTTGGGTTCCTCTGCTAGTATCGACTGCTGGAAATGCAATGGTGAAGGTGGCACTCTTGTGGTGCAGTAGCCTTGTGTATCAGGAGAAGATCTGCTCCCTTCTGTTCCTCACGTGCTGTCATGGAGAACATGCTCTGTTTCAGGAGGTCTTTTGGGATATGTTCGTAAAGTGTTGCTCTGTTTTCCTGTTGGTGGTTAAAGGCATTTGGAAAGCAGTTCAGAAGCTTGCACAGATGATTTAGAAGCTTATAATGTATAAGTCAAGCTTGTGTAATACTTAAAAACAAGTTCAGATAAAATGTATGGCTTTTTATTCTTTTTAAAATAATAATTAGCGGCTCATATTGACTACTAAATCTATATAACCTTAAGTTATATCTTCTGAGGTAAGCTAAAAATGTAGGCAACAAAAATTTTTTCTGAGGTAGGCAAAAAATTTTCCTGGAAGAGCAAGTGCATCCGGGTGGGGTGGATGCACAGACCATGAATTTTAGTAGTAAATTCTTCTGTTAGCGTGTTCTTTGATCTGTAAAATTATATGTTTCCTGAAAAGTCTCTATGAGAACATATGGTAAGATTACAACTGCTTTTGCAGTTATGCTTCTCCTTTTTATTTTGACATTATTTGAAGCCAAGGGTAGAACATGTATGTTTCATTACGTACAATGTTATTAGATTTTACTGCAGAAATACAGTAGTATAATCAACCTATTAACCTTCTTTTAGCTTTGAATGCAAATGTTTTTGTAAGTTTACCGTTTAGCTTTTATAGCAGTGTGTTTAATGTAGAGATATTTGGCTCATAAAACATTTTAAGATGCTTTTTGCACAGTTCAAGTGAATTTCACTACTCAAGGAAAGCTTGTTAAAATGAATAGTGAAATAGTAGGTCTTAACTTGTACATAGTAAATGGATCATTCGTTTTTTTATCATTACAAAAAAATACAAATAAAATATCTGGATAATGTGTTTTAAACTACTTAATTGCTTGAATACATGGGTATGAACTAAATATATCCTCCTCATTCGTGTTTAAACAAATGCACACACACGCACGCACACACACACACACACGCATATATATATATACACACACCAATTAAAATATGGCAAGACTTTATTTTAGTTGCAAGTCTATATGTTGTAATGATTCTATCATTGATAACCAAGAACTAATCTCTAGGGAAAACAACAACAACAAAAAAAGTAAATGCAAAACGTAGTTATTTAAATCAAGGCTTCCTGCTTGGTAATTTAAATTATGATTAAAATTGACTTGAATAAATCAATTCCCTACTTTTTTGTGCATTCTAAATGTTGCAATTAGCACCGTCTGTGCAACCTTCCTTCGTTATTTTTTTTTCACTCAGGCCTTACAGTGCAGTCTGTACCTTGCTCACTATACTTGGCTCGGAAGGGTTGCTGCACCACTGAGTACAAGAAGGGGAGAATTTGGTGCAGCAGAAAGAGAACTTGAATTTAAGACCAGAGGCTGAGTGTGCAGCATTGGCCTCTGTACCTTCAGCTGTCCTCACCAACTGTCTGTGGTGGTTGGTCAGGTTTTGGTAATGGGATTCACAGAATCATCTAGGTTGGAAGAGACCTCCCCAAGAGTCCAACCTCTGACCTAACGCTAACCAGTTCTCCACTAAACCATATCCCTAAGCTCTACATCTAAACGTCTTTTAAAGACCTCCAGGGATGGTGACTCCACCACTTCCCTGGGCAGCCCATTCCAATGCCTAAGGGCCAAATGAAGATTGCAGGGCCAGCTTCCATGCTGTCACACGCTCAGGCAGTTCCGACTACCGTGTGTGTGGCTTTGCAGTCTTAACATTTGTTTGATTTACCTTTTATGATGCACGTTGTGTATACACTACAGAAGGAACAAGTCAAGCGGCCACAGCACTGACAAACAGCAGGTATATGGTGACTCACTCAACAAGGGTTTCTTTTGAACTGCAACGTTACAGCATTGTACGATGCTTCTGTGAGAAAGAGCAGTAGGAACCTTATATTCCTGCCGTGCCCGTTGCTTACTTGTGATGCAGAGGTTTGTGTGTTTGAAAGCTGCATGGTTCCTAAGGAAAAATGGATATCCACCTTTCAGAAAGACCAGGGATAAACAGAAGTTCACCCCAGGGTGCTCAGATGGGCTTTGTTTGTCTGCTCTTGGCTTTTGGCTTTGGTGTCTCTCACAAGTAGAGCAGATGTAATACAGATGCTAGACAAGGGCAGATCAATAGTTTTGTGCTGCATGAAGTCAGGGTGGGAGGATTTCAGTCTTTAATTGTTGCTCAGGATACTACACTCAGATTGATGCCTTACATGATGAACAAGGTAAAGGCTTTAGAGAAAGGCACCATTTTTTTGAACACAACTGGTACAAGTTAAAAAAAAAATAAAAAAAATAAAAACAGAAAATCTTTCAGACAAACATGTCTGTCCTCAGATGAGTAGCTCTGGTTGTACAGTTCAAATTTTAAACAAGCAAGCTAGTGATTAATGTTTTTTATTCTAAAGTAGTCATGTACTGATAATTGGGTTACTTTTTCTGATATGTAGATCAGTCCATAACCAGCCAGCTAAATCTTTAATGGATTTTTTTTCTTTATAAATAAATATTTCAGGTATAACTACTTAGAGTTTTGTTACCTTAAATTTGCTTTCGATGTAGTTAAATATAATCTACGCTGAATGAGTAGCGACGTGGTACTTGTGCCTCCTACTTGATGATCAAATTAGGTAACTGAAGCATGTGTGTGCATGGATACATGTTTACATTATAAAAAAAAAAAAAAGTATTCAACTTGTTTTCTTGTGATCACAAAATATCCTTGTTTTTGCCTTTTATTTTACTAGTTTCTCCTGTATTGTGAAGGAACTCGTTTTACAGAGACCAAGCATCGTATCAGTATGGAGGTAGCTGAATCCAAGGGGTTGCCTAAGCTGAAATACCACCTATTGCCCAGAACCAAAGGCTTCACCACTGCTGTCCAGTGTCTCAGGGGAACAGGTACTGGCAAGCTGCTACTCATTCTTCACGTTAATTGTAATGTATAGCACATAGTAGTATATTTACTCTGTTGTTCATTTTCTCCATTACAATTAACAAGTTGGCAGTAATAATTGTTCACCTGTAATTCATGCCACATAACTTTTACTACTCCTAAAAAATAAACTTAAGTGTGTAATTGTTGCTTAGTTTATCAAGTCATCTTGTGTTTTGGTAACGCGTGTGCAACATAGATGGGAATGTCAGGTGGCTGAGAGAGAAAAATAAATAAAACATGGTAACACAAAATAGTGAAGGGCTCTGCTGCCTGCATCACTAATGCAAAGCTTGTGCAAGGCCCTGTTGCTGTTTAATGTAAGGGTGCTGCCAACGTGGTTGCTAGAATTGCTGATAAAACATCCATTTTTTTTCTTTTTTTGCAACAGTTGCAGCAGTGTATGATGTAACACTAAATTTCAGAGGAAACAAGAACCCGTCCCTATTAGGAATTCTTTATGGAAAGAAATATGAAGCAGATATGTGTGTAAGGTGAGCATATAATGATGGTGAGCCCTAAGATGCATGCTTTGGCGTGTTGAAGTGTATTCAGATTTCACAGGGAAGGATCCTCTGCTGTAGTCCATTTTGCTTTGTCATTCAAGTTTCTCTGCAGACCACAGAGACCTCCTTGCCATGCCCACACCCCAGCTTCAGTTTACTTTCACGTTTCAGATCCCCTGATTTTGCCCAGCAAGTCAGAGAGCATTGGATGGACTTTTTAAGCCTGAGTAGAACTGTACTGTCTATCTAGCTGGGGTTTCCCCAAACTTTGTGCGGTGAGGGCACTCATATGCCTTTCTTTTCTCTGATGGGAACAGAAAGCAACTGCTCTGTGTCCTACCCAGTCCCTTGTGAGCATATGTATAGTATAAATAGCCTGCCCAGCATCAGTAGCCTCCTGTAGAAAGTGGAGTAAAGCTCCTTATTGTGCCAGTTAGTCTCCTTCTCTCACATGGCTTGATTAGCAGATTAGAAGGTAAATAATGCTGAAACTCAAATATATGAATGAGGTGGTACATTCCTCACATTCTTTTTATTTTTTTGCCTGAAAGAGTGACTGTTAACCCCTACCTCCATCCAGCACGTATGTGCATGCATGCACACGTACGTGTGCTTTCTCTTTCTTGCTTTCTCCTTGTTGCTGCCTTCTTCAAAAGCTTTGTGTGATCATAAAAGCTACCAATGTTTTCCTGTTGAATTTCCTCCTTTCCCTTTTATGTCTGAACTTGACAAACGACCTGCTTGTTCTTTCCACAGTTCTGACAGCTCACTTCTGGTACTTGAAGTAGCAGGACCACTTGCTACTTCCCCTACTCCGTTCACCTCTGGCCCTGGGTGCGTGCACTGCAGGTGCATAGCACTGGCTCTGTACATTGTCCTAATGAAAGCCAGTGTGCCATGCCAGAGCTTCCACAGGCGAAAGACTTTATAGGGACTTGCACTCAAGGTACCACAGCACCATTTTTTTGGAAGAAATGCTGTCCCAGGGGAGGCAGGGTGCTGCAGCCCTAATGGGGAAGGGGAGGACACATCCCTGATGAGGAAAGTGAGCAGACGACTTACCAGTTAGTGAAACAGCATGTAAGGTAGTTGCCACCTCTGATTTCTGGTGCTACGTGTGTGTTGCATATTTACCTAGATCCAGGGTGCACGTGCATGGATGTACATCTGGATAGTTATACACCGAGCAGCTGCATTCAGTTAAATTATTCAGTTAAATATCCTATGGCTTGGATATTATAACTGAGATGCAAGTTGGTCTCCTCTATTGTTGAGGAGAGAAGAGAAATGTTTTCATTAGTCTTTAGAAGAGATTTGGTTTCATAAAATTCTGTCAGATAGTGTTGCCAGGTGAAATTGCTAATTACCCTGTTGAAGAAGGTAATAACTATGTTGTTCAGTAATGTTGATTTATAACATGCTTGTGGACTGAATCGATGTTCTCAAGATGCTTTTCTGTACTTGAAGCTTCCGCACTGTATCAGGGAGGAAACCATTATAAAAAAAAACAAAACAACAACTATTTTTACAGTCTTCTTGCTGAAAATTAAGCATGTCCTTGATGTGCCAGCAGACTTGGCTTAGGTAGAGAAAGGAAGCATGTAAGCTCTTGTTCTTCATATATGCGTATGAAGCTAACTGTGTAGAGGTAAGAAGCTTAGCTCCCTGGGGATGATCCAGTCTTTCTCCTGACAGGCTCCAGAGAAACTGATTAGCTAAATTAGTAAATGTTGTTGCTGTGAGTACCCTCTAGTGGTGGTACCAGTACAGTAACGATTTTAGCAGAGAGCTTTCAGCAAATGAGCTTTTTTTTACTGAGCTTTTGTTGAGCATTGTTTATATTAATTGAGAATCTCCTCCTGTTAGAGCTATTAGAAAGAAATCTGTAAAACCTAGTTTTCGATTTGTTTATAGGATGCAGAAGCTATTAAAAGTGCATTAGAATATCTTCCTTCTGCTGCTGCTGACTCAAAGGCTTTAACTTGCACTGTGGAAACATATTCCCTGGTTGAACAACACCAGATAAGTTGTCTTGGGGATCACTGTGTCTGTAGCTCTCCTAAAAGCCAGAGTTCTGTTTTTACTGCCTGCCCTGCTGGAAGAGGGGCCTGATACCAATGTATGAATGTTAACAAAATGTTTCAGCTTGAGGGTAGGAGGTGTGTGTGCCTGCCCTATACAAACCAAGCAACTTCTTTCTGAGTTGATCCAGGATGTGGAGTTGTGTGCCACTGAGAAAGGAGACACCACAGACATGCCATTAACATGCTCACGTATCAGAACATGAAAGAATGCAGGAAAATAAGTTGGCTCTTCACAACTAAAGAGAATCTTAAAAGGCGCGTGTGCTCAGTGAGGTTGGGTCAGTACCCAGAGCTGGGCATAATTTTCCTGTGCACTCAGAACTCTGTCTCTACTTGTATGGCCAGAGAGGCAGAGAGAGAGAAGAAATACAGTCTCTGTAGAAGGTGTTTTTCTCAGAGTTGGTACAAAGTGAATTTTTAACCACCCACCTCTCATTCCTTCATTTTTTTCCCCTCACTAGCAGAATGTAACAAACAGTTATCCTGGGTTTTGTCACTTTTGCTCGACTTTTTCCAGCTCTGGGTGCTTCATTCTGAGCTTATTGGAAATCAAACAGTGGTGGTTCCAGTGAGAGGGCAATAGCGTTTTAATAGGAAATGCTTACTTAACTAATGTGCTCTAAAATTGATGGATGCTGATACAGTTTGACTTAGGAATCTGTGTTTTTGGCAGAGGATCAGGGGTTATTAAAGTCCCATTTCTTCTGCACTTCAGAGCTCTGCCATTGGTGACAGTATTACTTCTAGTTTGTGCCCTTTATTAAATGGGAGGTCTTCCCTCCTAGAGGTCTAAAGTCAAGCACCTAGATTTTGGCTTAATTCTTTTTCTTTTTTTTTTTTAATCTCTCTACTAAACTAGGAGATTTCCTCTGGAAGATATCCCTCAAGATGAAAAGGAAGCTGCAAACTGGCTTCATAAGCTTTACCAAGAAAAGGTAAATGGCTTTGCTTTCTTTTCTCCCTTTCAGGACTTCTAGGGAAGTGTGTTAAGGAACTGAGAAATGCCCACCATTCCTCTGAGGGGAGAGAAGAGATGGAAATATTGTAAATAATTTGGCAGCCATCCTTCAGACTGCTGGAAGGAACATTGCAGACGAGCTGTAAGGGAGCCCCTTGGCCACAGAGGGATGGCTAGTGAGTAGGCCTCAAATTGCTGGGAAGCACAATGGGATTCAGAGTTGAGGCTGAGTTGTGAAGACTAATAGCAATCTACCATCTCCTTATGTTCTTCATCTCCCAGATCTCTGTCATACACTTCTAAAAGCTCCATATTCCCTGTGACGTTTTTACGTACTCAAGAACTGTATGTTGGGGCAGCCACTCGAGGCTCTTTGCCGTAATTGTCCTTTGCTTTCATGTTTCTTTCCTCCTGCCTTCATGTGATACCAGTGCAGTGGTCTGTGACACAGTACAGATAGTCCCAGAGATCTGCTGCCAGGGACTGATGTACCACAAGGCCAGCGGGCCTTTGGAGGGCTTAAAGGTTTCTCTCATTTTTCTTTTATTCTGTTAGATGGTTACTTTCTTGACTGCAGACTGAACAATCCTGTGGGGAGAAAGAGAGAACTAATTTGCTTTGCCCAGCTCTAATTGGTAGATTGTTGAGCTTCAAATGTGTATGCATTACTCTTCTGTGAGGGAAAATGTAGGCAGCAAGTTATAAGGGTCTGGAAGTTTCATTTTGTTCATTTTAACCTAATTTGTTTGAATACCTAAACTCTAATGTGATTCAAGTGGAGAGAAGTTACCTTACAAAGAGCAGTAGCGACCATCATCCATATGCCCCCCTAGTCCCACACCTCCCATTGGCAGGGCTATCAAACTGGCTTGTGAGTCAGTGTAATACAGGATTAGAGAGCTTAAAAAAAAAAAAAAAGACACTTGAATCCTGTCTCCTGCTATCATGTATGTGCCTTTATCTAACTCCCTTGTCTTCGAAGAGACTCATAGAGGTGAGAATTCCTTCTGAAATTGTGTGGTTTGAGGAGCAAACATCAAGATGCATTGTTGAGGGCCCTTCTTCCTCAGTTTCTTTGTTAAGCAGTAAATACAGGTGCAGCCCAGAGCATCCACTCTGCTTGGCTCTGTTCCTTGGGCACAGTGCTCTGCTGTGCTTGCAAATGGAGGTCTCGGTGTTCCTTGCTGATGTTTGCTGTACTCCATTCAACTTCGGCGAGAGGTGTTGTCAGGGGAGGTATTATTTATATATATGGGTATTGTATATATTGATCTTATGGTGGGAGCAATATGTTGTAACTGGAATCCTTGAAATCGATGCAGTGTACAGTGCTCCTGTACAGTAGGTACGTCCTCAAAAGGCTGTGTTATTGGCAAGAAATGCCTTGAGCTTCTCAGCCCCATCATAAGGAAAGTTAAAAGAAAACAGCTTAAGTAGAGGAAAAAAAAAAAAAAAAAGAAATAGCCTAACCTGAACCATCCTTGGTAATGGCTTGGAAATCTCACAGAGCAGTCATACAAACCGGAGGGGGAATATGGACATGCCACTCCTTCCTGTTAGTTGTTTTGTGATTGCATCTGTCTGCAGGCTCAGTTGAGAATGCAACTGCTCTGTTGAAGTTTTGTGGTTATGTACAGTGCTGTATAAGCTGGTCAGCTTGTGCTTTGCCTTCTTTTAGTTGTATATGTAGCACTTTTCTGCTGTGACTTCCAGAAAAGTCAACATGATTTAGTAAGTAAAAACAGGAAGAAAAACATCCAGCAAAAAGGCAAGTATTGTCTGAATTGACCCCTGGCCTGACACTGCCCTAAATTCCTAAGAAATTAAGAAAACAGATGAACATATTTGGTAGTGGAAAGGATAATATTGTTTCAGTTTTTATTGTGACCAACATGGCCTTCAAAGGACTAGTACAGTAGCCTTGGCAGCCAACAGAAATGCCCAAACAGCAAAAATGCAAAAACAGCAGATGGAAATGGATGCCATGTAGTCTTGACAGACATTTACCACAGATGACATCCTTGATGTTGTTCTGGAGTTGACTAGTCTTGGATTGCTTAATGCAAACATCATGAATGTTTTTTCATCTGTCTTCTTTCTCTCAGGATGCTTTGCAAGAGATGTATAATCAGGAAGGCGTATTTCCTGGCCAGCAGTTTAAACCTCCTAGGAGACCATGGACTCTCCTAAACTTTCTTTTCTGGGCCACAGTTCTCCTCTCGCCTCTCTTCACGTTTGGCTTTGGAGTTTTTGCAAGTGGATCACCTCTTCTTATCCTTGCATTCCTGGGATTTGTTGGAGCAGGTAATAAAAGCAGAGATGTTAAGTACAGTAACGTGTAACAGGATCCGTTAGCTTTAAGTTCTGTGTATTAATGAATATCAATGGGACATGCAGAAGAGTACTTGGGGCTCATTATGTAGTCTTTTTATCTTATATAGCATTTTTATCACTTGAAAAGCATTAATCCAGGCAGACTTGCCTTCATATTTTAGGCAGTATCTGTAGCAATCAATAGCAAGTGGGTCTTGTAGCCCATTGCTTTGGTGCCTAAAGGAGAAAATACTGACTGTGCACCTTGTTTGTGATACTTAAAAAATTAAAAATAAAATTAAAGTTCATATGCAGCTTCATGCAGTGCACAGCTGAAAAGCAGCATTTTGTAATTGCTACTGACTTCAGGCTTTCAATAACTTATAACTCGTCTTGTGTGTTTACATGTAACTTCCTATATCCTTGAACTGGTTTTAATATGTCTCCCTTTTCTCTGTTGTGTTTTAAAGCTTCCTTTGGAGTTCGTAGACTGATAGGAGTAACTGAAATAGAAAAAGGCTCCAGCTACGGCAACCAAGAATTCAAGAAAAAGGAATAACTGACAGCTGCAGTTCAGCACATATAACCAGACTATGGTACCTGATTAACTTCAGTTAAAAAAACAAACACTTAGAAACTATCTTTTTCTTAATAACTGATGACTAATATTAATGAATAAAACTTGAGCCAAGAATGAAGAATTTGGAGGCATCAACTGAAAAGAACGCATCAACTTTCTGCCTGTTTAAGGATTACTGTAGTCAAACTATGGGAGAAAATCTGGGGTGGGGGGGAGGAGGAAATTAATTTTTCTTGCTTTGTTGGGGGTCCATGGGTGGGGGGAGAAGAGAGGTCATTGGGCATGGCCATGTGCATCGTCAGATGACTGAATACACTGGTTTCTGTCAAGAGCACTACACTCACTTTTACAACAGGAGCCATTGAATGTTTCCTCTTGCTAAAGCCAACATTGCGTTTGTTGATTTTCAACTTTTTTATTAATGATCCAGGAAAAAACAACCATTCTTTAATTAATTATAGATGTTCACTGGATTAGTCTCTTTGGAAAGGTTGTGTTTTCATGGCTACAGATTAAATCCTATTTGTATGTTACACTGATACGTTTTATTTTCAGGCAACATCTTAAAACTTCTATAATACAAGAGAACACAATGGAGTTTGGAAGCAGGGCGTTACTGATCAGCACGTGACGTAGAACAGATCCACTAGTATTAAAAGAGTATAAAATTATCATCATATCTCCTGCCAATTGCTCAAGGCTGTTTAATTTCTAAGTATTACCTCAGTCTTGAGTGTTGTTAGCCCCGTTTCACATTGTGTATGTATGTAATTTTGAATCTGTTTGCGTTTGTTTTGTTTCCTGAATTAATTTTGACCGTGGGATTTGGAGTCGTGCAAAGAAGGAAATTTATTCAATTGTCCTGATGTTTTTTTTCCTTTTATTTCTGTTCACGTCTGTCATCACCAAAGTCCAGTTCAACCAAGATCCCTCAGTAAACTGGGGGATAACAGCAGAAACTAGCACAATAGTTTTCAAAATGTTGTATATTACAAACATTCTGAAAGGAGAGGTCTGTAGCAATCAGATTCCAAACACCGGTATCTCTTGAACTTCTGGTGGGAGTTTTGACATTGATTCCAGTGGGGGCCAGGATCTTACCCTGTGTGCTGTAATGGTAGGGTGTGCTGCACTTTCTACTTGGTCGTGTTATAGATATTAATGTGAAGAATATTGCAAGGTGAGTTGTGCTGTTAAGCATTAGAATGAGTGTGGGGTCTCTTCAGGGATTTAAATATCTTTAGTTTTGCTTGTTGTCCTTTGGATTTTTTCACTAAAATAGAGATCAGAATCATGGCTGTACCTCTTATTTTTTCATAAACGCACATTCTAAGATTTTTGCAGATCGCTGCTGTATGCACTGCTGCGGAATTATTCTCAAGTAGGTGGGAGCTACTTATATGTTTGTCTGAAGGCCAAAATCTGCATTTGGCTATATTCAGAAGTTGGTGAAATGGGTTGCAGATCCTACAGCTGAGGGCAGAAGCCAACCCTTGAGGTCTGCTATTTTAGCTGCCACTTAGAATATTTATCTCACTTTTGCAAACAGCAGATCTTATCAGAGCACCAATTGTTATTTTTCGTCTTTGCTCTAGCAATCACAATAAGAGTAATCATCTACCTTCTTTTCATATTTACTCTGTTAGAATGTAACCTCTTCTCCCACAGGTTTTTCTGTCTAGAAGAGCAATTTTGTAACTTGGAAAAATATTTTACTGTGGATCATTAGTCACTGTTCTGTCATGCACTTGATTTTTATTAGTGGTCTTTCCAACAGAATGATTTGAAGGATGACCCGTGTTGTCTGTCTCCTGAGACTCATCCTCACTGAATCATTGTACCTGTATCTCCAGCATTAGTGTGTCATCTTTCTACCCTACAAAAAGCCTTCCCTAAGACAGGGGATACAAAACTGTCGTTCATGGTGGTGGAAATTGGAATAAGATTTGGGAATTGAGGAGAACAGATCGTAGCCATGACTCTGTTTTCCTTACTGAGTGTTTTTGTACTCTGTCTTTAAATATGGTTAGAATTCTAAATGCTGATAAATATAACTCTGATTTTTTCCTTGTTTTTTTAACCAGAGGGCTAAAACCAGTGAGCTTTTCTTTATTTTCTTTCCCCCTCCCTTTTTTTTTCCCCCCATAAGTAATTCAGTAATGGATATAATTCGTGTTTGTTAGAAAGATGTTACAAATGCTGTATACTTGCTTCCTGAAGATGGTATTGAGTATATATAAACTGTGCCAGCTTAGCAAAGCGAGGCTTGCAAAGCAGGCTGACCACTGGCTGTTTTATACTTACACTTTGGGTGGTATATTAATAGGGCATGACAAGAATTCAACAAAATAAATCCCTTCTTATTGCTGAGAAGAGGGGGAGTGCTTACAGGAGAAGGGAATTAAGAACCTTTCTCTTTATGGGATTCTTTTCTCCTCTTAGTGCATGTAACTCCTTATTAAGAATCATGGGATTAGTGCATGTACATCAAGGGGAGAATAATCAATGTTTCATATTTTCCTATAACTTATTGGTCATGCTTTCTTTTCAAAATATAATACATGCATCATCATTTACTTAATTTGCTCTTCTAAACGGACATATCAGTAACCATTTGGAAAACCGAAATATACAGTAATGTACAAAACAGTGAAAAACAACACAGATCTCTTCATTTTGAATTTTATCTCCTCAAATAGGAGTTTTTATATACGCACGAGTGCACACATACACAGAGTATGTATAAATTAAAATAACTGGAAATAGCTGAAGTTAATGTCACTAATGAAGATTAGCAGGTGGCTTGGATTGGAAAAGTGAGCGTAGATTTTATATCTGACACTATTTTCTTCTGGTTTAATAGATTATAGCTTGTATATTTGACTACCAAGCCCTTTAAGAGCAATAATAAACAAAAATATATCATGTTTTTTTTGTCTTTTGCTTTTCAACCATGCTAAGTTTAATAAACTTCAAGCTGTAGGATCACTTTCTCTCTCCAGCTTTCGAAACACTCATTTATTGCTTGATCGTTTAGATTAAATGCCATGTCCTCCAGTATGGACCTGCAAGCTGACTCTCATGGATCTCAGCATTGACTCTGAAGGTGGCTAACATGGGCCATGGCAGCACCCATCATTGTCGTGAAGAACAACGATATTGCTCTCAAAGTGGGATTTGCAATTCCAAGACAGCATCACGTTGACCTACATCTTAAGCAGACGGTGGGAGAGCTCTGAGACTACTGGTGTTGTGATGTCTCGCAGTTAGGAAGGCACAAAAAGCTGATGCTGAAGGAGGATGGGTTGTGATCTGTCTGGATAGCTGATATCCAGAGGTCTTGGCTCAATAGGGATTACAGTTCTCTGTTGCTCATTGTGGGCTGAATGTGCTCTTGCAATTGACTTAGTGTTACTGAGCAAAATATTTGTCTCTTGCACAAAGAGCATGGGCAACATTCCTTTGTTCTGCTTTAACTTATCTTGAAGGGCTCTATACTTAATTGCTGACCAATGAATATGACTACTACCTTTTGTCCTAATTGCCTAGTGTTCACAGAGAAAAAGTGAATGTGTCTGCTCACTTCCACATGGTACCACTTGTCACATCTACTTATGTCTGTGTACTTGCTTGCCTGTATTTCCTGCAGATGGTTTGGTGACGACCTCCTGGCTGGAACTGGGAGATTTCCAGTTCAACTCATACTGGAGAAGTCATCTCACGTAGCTGGGTTTTTATCTTCCTGCGTTTTGGGCTCTGGTTGACATGCTCAGTAGGTCTGAAGTGACATAACTGTGTTTAAGTCTACTGATAATGCAACTTTGCTGCTTCAGAGCAAAACTTTGTTAGGGAGGATATGTCCTTCCCAGGCCTGCCTCACATAGGCCCTCATTACCTGGTAACAGGTCTCTCTCTGGCATCAATGAAACCAATAAATGGGATTTCACTAAGGCTGAAGCAACTAACAAGGAGGGGTCAATGTACATCTGGTAACTACTAAAGGTACCGTTTCTGTCTGGGACTACCCCAAAACCTGTATTTGCTTCATGTACATTTTGATTTGAGAAACGTGGGGGTGGAGGCTTTTACTAATGCTGAATTCACACTGTGCAACATTTCGGATTGAAGACAACGTTCACTTATCTTGGCATCCTGGAGAAGTACGTACTCAGTAAGTCTAAGGCCAGTGTTGGACAGACTTAGCTCAACTGTGCTTCATACAGATGCTGGAGGCCAATGCAAATACAAGTGAAAAATCCATTCCTAGGTTCCCTTTTGGAAATTGGACACACTGGAGTATCTCACAGCATCTCCTGGATGCCCACGTGCTTGTGTCACTTGGTGTGAAGTTTCTCACTCGCCGTAGTCCCAGTTGCACAATCCTGGCTTATGCCTGGGAAGAGAAGCCCATCCTCTTCATGGTAATGCTGAATTTGTACTTTGAAGCATGTCGTCACACCTTCTTGTTTCCATATTTCTGGACTTTCGGATCCATAACGGGCTGCTCTGGTGCTGCCAGCACTGGGTGAAGCTGGGATTTGAAGCAGGTACAGCCGTGCTGAGAGCTGCACCTTGCACAGCTGAGTGGAGGAGGAACGTGGACAGATACGGCCAAATTCTTTCCCCCAGGAGACGGAAGGATTGCCAGGAGCTTTGTACACCAGAGATGAGCATGTATGTGGGCAGGCAAATTCTGATCTGTGAGATGAATGTGAAACCACGTGGTGACAACTTACAAGGTAACCCTAGCTATTTTCATGCAGCTGGGGTCAGAATTGGTCTTGAAGGGCCTATCTCCTCGTTACAGAGGGCAGCTTTTACTTTGTCACACCCCCCTATTTATCTCGAAGAATAGTTTATCTGATTGTCTCAGTGATCTCTGCACAAAGATCCCTGCAGATTTAAATAAATAAATAAATATTTTTGAGGGAAGACTTTCTGGAAGCCAGTGTAACGGGGCGTGCGTCCCATTTGCTAGCCACCAGAAAATGTCATGGAAATACTTCAACATTTGGAGTTGGGAAGACAGTGGATTGTCATCCATAAGCCAAACACATCATGTTTCTCTTATCCTTGGCCTCTCTAGATTTATAGACGATTGCCCGGATTTCTTAAAACGTTACACCCATACAGACTAGCACAAAAGCTGCTCTGCAGTTTTCGAAACTTGGGGGAAGGTTAATTTTTACTTTTCAGAGTACTTGAGTGTAGTTGATTGTCTGTTTCCAAAAAGCTTTACAAACTCCATTTGCAAGAGAAGCATTTTATCTTTTATCTTTTTAAAGAAGAAATGTATTTTAAAAATAGACACTTTATCAGAAACTGGAATATAATAGTAATTTTTAAACTGAACTTGGAAGTATTCGAAGTATTCTTTAGCGTAGGGGTTACCACCACTAATTTTCAGTCTCATATGAGTTGTTTTTTGCTTTTTGCCAAGGTATATTTTCAAGGAAAACATAACAATTTACTAGTTAGATCACAATCTAATTTGAGAAGAGCAGAAGAGTAGGTGGCACAGGCTAATCAGGAATGCAAATTCTTCCCAAGGCATCAGATAGACCTTTCTTATTTGCACTTGTGCGCAGAGACAAGCTGTATCACCTGCATTGTTTTGCTTCAGCTTTGTCAGAAATGTACGCTGTGACAATTGAATGCTACTTGCCTGAAAGCCAGGACACTCCTGTAAACTGGCATGTTACTCACTCATAAAGATCACCAGCAAGTACTGTAGCTTTAATGAAACCTCGTTAATGAGAAAACTAACCCTCCTTAACCTTATTGATTGTTACAAAGTCATGCTTTGGAGGGCAGTGTCATCATTATTAGCCAAATCTAGCGAGTAATAAACTGTATACAGGGTACACATTTACTGTGCATGTGTATATATTTTTGTACATTTTTACAGTTATTTCCTACACTTGATTCTTTTGATGTTCAGAAGAGATGCGTCTGAATCTGGTTAAAAAATAAAAACAAAACGAAGCCTAACCCTGTCACTTACTGTAGTTTCTAAAAAGAACTGTGCCCAAACAAATACACAGATTTACAGTGCTATGCAAATTTCACTTTGTAAGTTGTCTCTTAAATTTGTTTAAGTAGTTCATGCTGTTTTTACTGAGCTTTCAGAAAAAAAAAAATAATGCAAAAGACTCGTCTTGTAAAATAAAATAGTTTTGGCTGTGTGAAAGTACTGTATATTAGAATCTCGTTCATGCGTTCAGTTGCTTGTCTGAACTATTGGTATGTGATTTTGTACATAATATGCTGGCATAGATTTTTTTTTTTTAATTGTGCTTAAAAAAGGATGACTGCCCAACATCTGTTTTTCTGCAGTGTTACTGAATAAGTAGCTGATATGGAAAGGGAAGATCTGCATTCTTTTCATATTTGGCGCACAGATTTTTGTAACTAAACGTGCACTAAGGGCTATTTTGGTTTTTGTTTTGTTTGATTTTATTTCCATTTATGCTTTTTTTTTTTTTTTTGTCTCTGTCCTGCAAACTGATCCATGCAAGGGCTGCACATCTGCGGCAGTAATCTGGGTGGATCATCGTTTGGGGGTTTGGGACCCTGGGCATAACTAAGAAGCTAAACAGGACTCCCATCACTGTCATTAAGAACTGGGGAGGGACTGTGCATTACTGCAGCATTCACAGAATTGGTGCACAAAGTTTTTCGTGGTTCTTTCACGTAACCAGGATGCAGAAGGAAAGGATGTTTCTTCCCAAGTAAGCACAAAGCTGTATGATCTAAGAAGCTGCGAGTCCAGCAGGCTAAGCTGGCTGTTCGAGATAGATGCTGTAGATTAAATCATTTTTTCCAATCTCACATCTTCGATGTTTCTGTTTTTCACTCTGAAGCCCACCCATGTTCCTCAGCTGCATGCCACAGCATACCCTTCCTCCTGGAGGCAAATGGAGACGCACTGGAAGACCATTTAGCACTTTTGTTCCTCTTTCCTTATTTCTGTTTTTGTTTGTTTGTTTTGTTTTTGTTTTGTTTTTGTTTTGTTTGTTTGTTTGTTACTTCAGTGGTTTGCACAAAACCAGCTTTTCATGTTTCCATACCGACACTGAATCTCCTCAGATCCGTAATTCATTTTTAAAGGCTGATTATTTTAATGTGGCATCTTGAATGCTCTTTTCAAGTACTGTTTTTTTTCAGCTTTAAGGTGAGAAACATGGGTTGAGATTCTTATCAGTACAGCATAATAAAGAATTAATTTGCTTAAAGTGGTATGATCCTTAATACACGCATGCAAAAGCCAAGCCATGAAAAACAAAGCCTCAGCTGATGGCAGAGATCTGTTCCTCTGTGTGCTGCCTCGCTACGGGCTACATAAGAGGGCTTTTGCTAATTTTTGGCCTCGGAGGTTCACGTCTTCTCTCACTGCCTATTAAGTTCCCCTTCTGTGATTCCTCTTTACTGAGCTGCTTGCTTTCTGTTCAGCCAGGCACTGTCAGAGGCACAACTGCACGGACTGGAGAAGCAGAAACAATGGTGTGTGGGAACAAGGGTGGGTAGGTCAACACCACAGTGCTTGATGGGCCATATTGTACAGGGCAGCTGTGGAAATGGAAGAAAATGTTTGCTGTGTGGATTGGCTGAAGATACAGTGTATGTTAGGTGGTTTCTTTCTGTATTGAGCAGTCTAGCTACATCAGTGACCTTTATGCGTGTCCTCTCTTAAACCCCTAAAGAGATACGAAGCTGGCTGTGGTGGTGGTTTGTTTTGGGTTTGGCTGTTCTGGGTTAACATGATTCTCACTTATTCTGCCCTTTTTCTTCCAGTATGAAGTTAATATATTTGGTAAAACAGCCTGGAATTCCTTAAAACAAATGCAGTATCCTCAATACCAGACACAGTCAGTTGCTGCATTGGGAGTGAGTTCATGTTTCAGATGTGCCAGGATCATGACAGCAGTTA